GGACTTCCTAACACCAGTAGAAAATGGATTTGTACTTGGTGAGGATCTGGCTTCCTACCTTGTCACTGAAACAGAACAAGTAAGAGCTACAGCTTTTGAAAGGACCGTTTATTACTGACACTTAAGCAGCTAAAGTGACCGGAGCAGTTGAAAATTGGTGTCTCAGAAAAGCAATTTGGGGATTTTCAGGCATTCTTTTTAATACTGCATTTGTGCCAAAAGAGGATTCAACTTGTAATTGAAAAAGCTCTTCTAAGGCATGTGTAGGTGTCTCTCAACAGAAAGACATTAGTGGAAGAAAGAAAAAAATGCAGAAAACAGTCAAATTGCTTAAGAAAATTGATCAGCCAGGAAGTACATGAAAGCCCACAGCATTCTAGTGCACAGGAGAAACTGCTGGCTGAAATAAAGTAGAAATCTTCCCGCAGCCATTCTCTGGGCTGTGCAGATGGTCAAATGCAGCTTTCAGCTTTGAAGCACATTTTGCCAGAGAAGAGCACTCTATCCTATTTGTTTGTTACTGGCTGTCCATACTCTTCCTCCCCACTCCACTAACCTGGAGAACAATGATCAGTCACTGGTATCACAAGAGATCCAACAACCTATGTAAACCTCAAGGCAATATGCAGCACCTCTTTGAGAACCCAGATGATCAGGAGCAGCAGGGGCACTAAAGAGTGCAGGGTAAGAGCAATCATAGCAAGCAAGCAAGGCTGTTATGGGGCAGCCAGGAACCAGAACCTATTAAGTAGAATATGTCAGGAAAAGTTAGGACAAGAAAAAGTCCAAAAACAGAGCTGAGAAGAAGAGAGTTTCTTCAACAAACACATGGGTGTCCAACTAGACACATCTACTAAGGGTCAAGGGGAGATGCTGAAAAATGTCTTGTCTGGCAAGAAAGCAAGTCAGACCAGGAGGAAAGCAAAAAGCCACAAGGTCACTGAAATGGCAGAAAACCATGGCCATAATCACAGGGCTAACGTAACCACAATAAGACCGTGAGACATTCCTGAGAGGAATATGGAGAGAACAAACAGGTTTTGGCATAAAGTCACTTGCAGTTTTCCCAAACTACTTGTTAATTCCACCACAATGTAATGCTTTTATATTGGATAGAAACCAATCTTTTGAAGCTTTCTATTCTCCTTTTAACCTGAAAATGGGAGAGAAAAAGATATCTTGCTGTACAGCACACTTAGATTTTTTCTTTTTCCACAGAAAAATCCCAGATCTTCTCTAGTCTTGGGAAATGACCCTCATCTTTTCATTCTCCCTGAATACCAAACGCAGGTTGCAACAGATAAGTATTCTTACAGTATCAATGACTAAATCCCTCTTCTGTGAAACCTAACCAAGCTTCTAAGATACTGCTCTCTGCTGATTTGTCTCCCACAGGAGATGTTGTTTCCTCTCCCTTTCATGTAAAGGATGCTTGTGTCATCCTACAAACACACCTTCCATATTGCAGTTATTGGGAGAGTGGACGGATCAGCCAGTGGAGTAGCACGTTAAAGTATTGAGGGAGAGGAGAAAGGGACTCATCAGCTTTTGTCTCTCTGTCTCAGGCTGTCCAAGACAGTCTGGGAACACTTTTGTGAAGAGGACCCCTCGGTTGTGAACCCACTATGTGCTCCAGTCTATGCCTGTTTCAGGACCAGTCAAGCCCATCAAGCTCCTGTACTTTCCAAGCTTCTGACTCTGGATTTTCCATGCCTTACATGAGGTTGCAAACATCTTATCAATTGCACAGATTGAGAAAAAGCAACAGAAGGCTGAAATGGCTTGTATAAAAGACATGGACATGGGACTTCTCTACTACTTTGTTAGGGTAGTGAAGATCTTAGCATATGAATAACAGAAGTGCAGCTTCTAGTAATCACAATTAAAAAAAAAAAAGTGTGAGAGACAGCAGAACCGTTTTCGGCAGGGCCAAACTGAGGAATAAAAAGAAGTAGAGAAACCAATAACCCTCTACATTAAGGTCAAGTGGTTGTTAAAGCGGTGTCTGGATAATCTTTTCTTCTATCCTCTGCCTGATTTCTGCTGATTCGTAAGAGGTCTTTCCAACCTTAATGATTCTATGATTCTATGATTATAAACCAGCCTGGATCACTCATTTCTCTCCCCAATATGCTTTGTGGTACTATGAAAATATGGAGCACAGTAGTTTCTTTATCCAGGCTTTTTTTTTTTTTTTTTTTTTCCTGAAGTATTCAATATTTTCTTAAATATATTCTTCCACTTTCTAAGGAAGAACTATTTACAAATTATATCTCCTTAGGAAGAATATCAGTAACAATAATTTCACATGGCAATCTTGACACACCAAAAAAAGCAGTGCTCTCTGTTGCCCCTAGCAAAATTTTGACCAACCACCAATTATATTGTAAACAGCTGAACAATGCAGAAAAAAAAATGACCTATGTTTAAGTTAACTTTGCACAAAGTTGCTAACGGTGGCACCACAGCTATAAAATGGTAACACAGCACCCTCAGTTCTGTATTTAATTAAAGTACAGAAATACAGACTTCTAAAATGTTTTCGTGGCATATGAAGTTGGACAGAATGGGTGAATTTTGAGTTGTCTCTGGTGTCCCTGTGCAAGAGGCAGATCTTATTGCTTGTGATTGCAGGAGAGCGCTGCTTAATTTACTATCTGCAATTCAAGCTTTAATTAGGGCTATGCTTAATCGGCTTTGTGTATGTTGCTGAGATGACTCTGGATAATATGAGACCAGCCTAGATATTTATCTGTCCCCCAAACCAGATCAGACACAGTTTACCGGTGGAGTAGCAGAGTCTTGGATCTTAGTCTTGTATCTACCAGTTTTGCCTGTTTGCCTCAACTCAGGACATACCAACTAGCATTTCAGTATCACATCTCAGGCCATCTCCTTCACATCATGCTGCAGCAAGACAGTAGAGTAGTAGCCAAGACAAGATCAGTCAAGAAAATTAAATGGTATTTTACTCATACAATCAGAAAGAGTATTGTGGAATATATTGGTTTTGCACTAATAAGTAAATCAACATCAGAAAGAACATCTGCATCATCCCCAATGTCTGATCCCCTCATAGCAAAAGCACCAGTGCAGGCTTGTTTGATTCTTGAAAAGCAAAACTGAAAATCCAGTCTTTGTAATCTTCAGTTGAGCCAGTTGGTAGAACGCAAATGCAAAGAATGAGATGTCTTGCCATTGCCTGTAATCTAAATCTAAAGACACTCAGCCTACAGAGATACATTGAAGTCAGGGATCCTGTCAGGAAAGCAGATGGCAAAATAAACAATAATGCAGAAAAAAAGCACTAAACCTCTTGATGGCACTTAGTGGTAACATGGGTAGGACAAATCTCACCAGGGTAGAGAACGTTAACAGACTGTTTGTGACAAAATGAAATAAAATTATTTGAATTGACACTTATGCTCTCATAAATCTGACCGACACATCCATTATTACTGTTTTGCCCTGGGACTTCAGCCTTACCTTGGGATGCTGAGAGTTGCTTTCATTAGGAGCAGGCACATGATGGAGTCCAGCATCCCTGACACAATTTGATTTCTACAGAGTCCTATTACCGGCAGACAGGAAGACTCACTGGAGAGAGCACAGTCTTTGTTCACATCTCCCAGCCTATTTCTGCCAAAGCTCTGCCCCAAAGGTCTGTCTCCAGGGGCTCTCCCTGGGAGTCTGCAAGTGCTGAGGCTGTCCAGGGTTTCACTGCTGCACCTTTCTCAGCTTTTTTTAGGTGTAGTTTCCTTTTTCTCTCTTCTAATTACAGTTCCATCAATCAAAGCATTAGCCATTCTGTTTTCTGTGTCAAATCCCAGGGAAATCTTCTGGACTACATTCAGATAGATAAATCCCATGTTTCGGGTACTGCCTGTTGTTGTTAGCTACTGTGTAATTGAAAAGAAACTGAATGCCTACCTCCATGTATTCAGAAATATGGTTGCTATATTGACCCACACATCTGTGCGTGTGTAGCCTTCCTATTGATATATGAGCACAAGTTAGAGAAAATGCTGTTTTCAGCAAGAGGTCTCAGGCCTAAGATTCTGGTTGCTCAGGTCTCTGAACACTCAGCTGACAGGTTTCAGCAGGTATCTTGCCTCCTGTGGTTTAGATGCACTTTCCCTGGGTGGCTGGCCTTATTGCCCAGTGAGAACCAGCTCTGTCCCTGGGGCACTGTAGAGGGAAAGGGCATAAAAGGAAAAGAGGCTACTCTTTACTTCTTCCTTGATACTTTTCAGTCAACCATTCACCCTTCATGTGCTTACCACTATGTGGAGTGCCAGAAGATGTGCTGTGCCCAGAGACGAGAGGGAGAAAAGCCTCTTTTTGTGTTTTTGTTTTACAAGTTTTAAATAGCCCTTTTAAAAAAGCCAGCAATTAAAGTAGAAAAGTCTCCTCCAGATAGCTATCCAAAAACATAATTTCAGACCAAGATCAAACTCTACCCGTCTGTATCTGGCCCTAACAACTTCTTGCTGCCAGAAAGGTAATTGCAAAAATAGGCTCCACCAGCTGAACTGATCCAAGAAGGCAAACCCACCAAAGCTTCTTTAGCCTCTGATATTTGTCTCAATAACTCCAGTGTCCTTAATTAGTAGAGCAGGAACCTCCAGGGGCCTGAGCCAAGCCCACTGGCTTCATTGGCCCTTACTGACTTACCCCAGACTTCCAGAAAGTTTCTAAGCCTGGAGGGATGAGTACTTAATATACAGATGAAAAAAAAACAGTGTGTTTGATGAGAAACAGAATAGCCTAAAGCCTTCCAGCTCAATGCTGCTGATGTCTGCATGGTTAAAAATGAACTACCTGGGGCTATATGAACCCCTGGTGTTAGCCTGAACAATGCATTCACATCCATTTACCTGAAGTCTAAATTTGGTTCATTGCATTTCCTAAGCACATGGAAGATGACAGCATTTCTGAATCAGAGCAAGAAGTTTCCACTCTTTATGCATATCAGCACAAAAGAAACCACTTCCACTTACCCAGGAGTACTGTAGATCCGTATCGGTTAGGGAATATGTAAGATGTGGCTGATGAGAAGAGCAAGTACAGTTTTCCCATTCTTCTATTTTTGAAATCAAGAAGTCACAAGAGCAGAGCTGGTTATCAGGAAATGGCTTCCAGTCACTCCACAAGTGAAATTCGGTTTCCGAATGGATTGAAATAGTTCCTAAATTATTAAGTCTGGAAGTGTATGATCGGCCCAGAGATGCAGAAATAAAGTCTGCCCTAGTCTTAGTCTCTTCTTTTCTCCTCACATTGTCTTTCCAGGTCTTCTTTTCCTGAGGTTTTGTCAGTTTCATGCAAGAAGTTAGTGCTTCTTCATCCTCTTCAGAGAGATAAGCATCTTCTAATGTATCTTTAAAAATGCAAATACTTCTGTTATAATATGTTGCAATTCATAGAGAAAATAGCAGACTTTTTTTCTTCAATGTTTTCTGTTGCATTCTATGTAATGAAAAAGCCAAGGACTCCATAAAAAAACAAACAATAATGATAATTAGGCAGATGGAGAGGATTTTGTATTGGGTCAGACATATGAGCCAAAAGCAAGATTTATTCTCCATTTGGTAAATTTGTCTTGTTCCTTCAAAAGCCTGGAAAATTGTACTGGTTCTGCACTGAACATGGAAATTTGCTAATTAAATGTCATATTGCTGCGTAGTTGCAGAAAGCATGAGTTTAGCTTAAGTACTGGAAATGTTTGGAAAGCTTTTCTGGATAGTTCCTCTCCCACCCCTTCCCAGTATGTGTTGCAGTTACAAAGCAGTTGCTGAAATCTAAATTTCCTTGTGTGTTTCAGCCCAAGCAATGATCTGTCTGGAGCAGTGGTTCATCAGTGTAAACTCATTTTGCTAATATTAGTTTAAAAATAATCATATCCACAAATGCATTGTACAACAAATTCATGCACTGTTAAATTAATGTTGGCAAAATCAGTTCAGACGAAGAACTGCTGCACAGTCAGATCAGTGATCTATAGGAGACTCAAGAAAATAACCTGAGCTCAGCATCAGTTTAGAATTCCTGCGTCTTATGCCCCTAGGCAATCAGGTATGATGAGAAGCCAACCTGATGATCATACCACAGACCTTCTTGTGCTTGCAGCTGCTACTGACTCATGGATTAACACTGAAAGTTATCATTGCATTTGTGAGTTTTGACTTTCTGATCTGAAATGTGATACAAAACTAGGAACTACTCTAAAAACAAATTGTCCTCAGCACAGAGGCTCCACTGTTATACAATTCTAGTTAGCTAAAATCTGCACTTGCAAGATATACTGTTACAAAACTCAAGCTAGCGTGTCAGGAAACAGGTTTTCACACTATGAGGAAGTCAACACTAAAGTGGTATCACAGTAACATCTCAGCTGGAGTTTGAAAATTGTGGGTGGTGAATGACAGAGCAGGACAGGATTGTTTACAGTTATGTTCAATACAGTGTCATTTGCCGAATGTTGGAAAGAATGCTGATATAACACTTCACTTACTGAGTGGGAGCAAAACATGTTTGACATCCTCCAAGCTTTGTGTACTAGATTTTTTGGTTCGGACCAATTTCTGCAGTCGTTTCAATGTTCCCATGGACTCTGCTTTATCATCTGGCTCTGTACCCTGGCAAAAAAAACCAAAGACATTTAAAAAGTGTTCAAAACCTACAAATAAAAACTAAGGTTAATGTGATGCTTGTTCTGAGAATGACGAAGTCTCAGCTTCAAAGAATTAATCATCTGCACAATGCTTTAAAAGTTAAGCACTTCCTTGCTTGGGACCAATAGATATAAAAAAGGAAAAAGGGAAGTCACAGGAGACATCAAACTTAGATCAGTGTTCATATTGCTGTTTACATATTACTTTAATACCTCACTTAATTACGGATTAGTTCCAGAAAACATTTTAATATATGCATCTAATACATTATCCAGAAGCATTTCATGTATGCACAGAAATCCCAGATGTGGCCAGCTGCTGAATTTAAATGTGTATAGGAGTGTGTTCTGAAATACTGATGTCTTCCTTAAATCAAGGTCTTATTTCCTTTTTTAGATTAAGCGGTAATGATGTAAATGACAACTGAAATCTGTTATAGTACATTCCAACAACGTCCTACTGGGGAAACTCAAGGTTTGGGTACTACAGGTTCCTGGAGCAGGAACTTTGTGAATATGCTTTCACTTATGTTAAACCAGCCGCTATCTTGCAAAGCAATCCAGAAACTCTTGAATTCTCTCCCAATATGATTCTGAATTCTCTGTGAGCTTCAAAGAGAAATTTCATTCTTTGACAGCAAATAACCTCTCTTCCATAGCCATGTGCTGTGTTTCATATAAGATATCTGCTTTTCATTAGAAACCAAGAAAAGTAAGCACATTACAAATTAGTAAAATTGTAACCCACTGATGGCTACACTTTGGAACAATACTGGCTGGAGCCTATGGATGTTCGGCTGTTTACACTGATAATGAATTTGGCCTATTGTGGCAATGAAATTTGGCAATATTACAAGTTTTTAAGTGCTAGTGCTGATGTTATCAGAAGGTAGAAATGCAGACACCTAATTGCACTCTCCCCAATCCTTTCTGCTTCCTCATATGCATAATCCTTTGAGACAAAGTCATCAGGGAGTTTCCCAGCACAGTCTAATATATAGTGGGCAGGCTGCTTAGCGATGGGTATCAAGAGATGCTGAACTCCTCAGCTTTCACTTGGGTTGAAGGCTTTTTGCAAAGTCTTAACATGAAGCACTCTGAAGCCCCAGCATTCACATATTACAAGTTACATCCATCCCTTGTAGCAATCATAAGGGAGAGGGTGTATCCTAATTTCAGATAAAAAAAGACCACCATTCACTTGACAGATAACTGCTAATAAAGATGGCCATGCTTCAAGTGACAAAGTTTCAGATATTTTTCTATAAAGTCATAAGACTCTGTAAGCAGAAATAGACATCCAGGTCTTCTATGCCCAGGCAAAGCACATTTTTATGTGTATTTAGTTAGCTGTGTGCCACTAGACAATTGTGTTGAAATTGTAATACGTTGAAGCGGAGGGTTAATGAAAGCTAAGTGAGAATAGGTGAGATGTTCCCCTGTATATTCAGATGTTTGATTTCAAACGTTGAAAGAGTTTGTAGCAAATGATTTGCACCACCAGTTCATCTTGGCCCAGCAATAAATTGGGATGGGAAGACAATAGTCTACAGAATCAGGTGTATCTTCCTCATGTAAGACAAATGGACTAACAGAATTTTAGATGTTGTCTAGTGAAATAAACCTATACCCCCATGTGTAAAATTGCACACAAAAAACTCTGAAACTATTTTATTCTTTTGGACACTGTTCTGATGAAATGTTTCTAGCTATGTTATATCTTATTATTAAACAGTCTGTCTCTAGATACACCTTTAATGACTTCCTTCATGGCTGATATAAATTAGGATGATTCCATTCATGCTACTGAGCTATGCGGACTTCTTTTCCTAAGGATAGGACCTTAGGAGTCCTCCTCTTGCTAAACACAGGGCGTAATGCAGAAGTTCCCGTGGTGGATTGCACTTAGGTTTAGACTCCCTTCTCAGCAGCATGTTACATTCCTTGAAGTCTGCAGATTGTCCTGGGAACCAGGACTCAACTGGAGGAACATAGCAGGAAGCCAGAAAGTTATATGTAAAGACCTTTTCATGTGCCCAGTGTCTTTTGTAAGTTATGGCTACATTAGTATTTTAGTTTTGATCAGGGACGTATATCTGAAGTCAGTTCCACAGCTATCCCGGTAAGTTGTGCTTTGGTCTCAAAGGGCCACAAACTGAATTCATCGCAGATGAAATTAGGATGAAAGATGCTTTCCAGAAGTTCAACTGATGAACTCCAGCTACTATCGAAGGTCTAACAGAGAAGATCTGAACACAGGTAGATCTCCCATAATACATATAAAGTGGACATCGGGTCATCAGCATCAACTGTTCTGTTGTGCTGATACTCATATATTACTCTGTGCTAGTTACTAACATAAACAAAACTTAGGTGCTTTCAATTTCTGCCATTTGAATAATTAATTGTTTTATTTTGTAGGCTAATAAAACCTAGTAGTTTTGAGTTTAAAACCCCTTAGGTTTTTCTTGAGGATCTTTACTGTAGGATAAGGTCCCAATAGATCTACCTTAAAGCTCTAGTCAGCTTAGCATCCTTTTAAAATTTGTATCTGAGTATTCATCATCCACTAGCGGCCAAATCCAAGCATCCTTAGATTTTTATGTTCTGATTTTTATTTCAAGCCCTCTCTCCCCTCTTCCAACTTCAAGACAGTAGGACTGCAGTTTTACTTTAGCTAACGGGAGAAATTGAGGTGTAATTTTTCAGTCTCTCATTGTGAGATGTCTTTGCAAAATAAATCACAGTGGGTTTAAATAATATTCCTCTAATATAAGAACTCTTGTAGTAATAATAATTTGTTCACTTACAAGTAACGATACCAAAGCAACATCATGACTTTGAGTTATGATCTGGGATTTCCATCATGGAGACATCAAGATAAATGGAAGATAATCTATTCAAATAATTTTATTAATGGCAAACTCTAATCCTCTTTACCTTAAAAGCACTCATTTGCTAGAATCTTTTGTTAGTGAAATGTCATATGTGCTTTAGTGATAAATACAGTAACCCCTTTATATGAAGAAAAAAACTTATGCAGTATCAGTAAGTGATGTTACAGCTTTTAAATTTACGGTATTTTATTTGGTTTGCCTAAGCATTCAAAACCAGCAGTTTAGCTGCCTATCCAAACAGAGGTAAAATATTCTTTGATGTAGAAATCAGACAGACTGTCAGATGAACTGACCATCCTAGTCTCACAGTTTTGGTGCATTGTCCTGGCAATCCCCAGCAGCTTAGTGAAACCATGCAGAAAAGTGAGAAAAATCTGTTAAATATTATGCTTTGGTTTCAGGCGATTTTCTTCTTGCTGTTTGTGTTATCTGGAATCGGATATCTCTGCTTGCCACTGGCTAGGATATGAGAGGAGGAAGTGCAGTGACAGAATGTGCAACACTACTGGCTGAGCCAGTAACATACAGTAATTTGGAGTATGCTCCTTTCCAGTACCTGCCTTCTCTGTGGAAGGGGAAGGATACTCCAGAAGGAGCTATGGGGGAATATTGAAGACCTATGCACAGAGCAGTAAGTGTCCACTCACAAAAAAACTGGTCATTGAAAACACCCTTAAAGACTTTAATATTTACCTGCCCCCCCCCCTGCTATTTTCTAGGGTCAGAGCAATTGCTCACTTGAATATTATAGCTGTGCTTGTGTTTTGGCCAATCTATAAGCAAAGCTATCTATAAGGAATTAATTCCCTCATGAACAAGAATATTCTTTATTTCCCTGCTTAACAGGTTTTAGTCATGCAAAATTATGTCACGCCACAAATAAAATTGAATTGTGTAAAAAAATAAATCATAGGCTGCCCTTTAGTTGCAAATAATTTGCATGAAGTGTGTATAAATATGTCTGACAAAAAAATACACATTTTAAAATACACTTATAAAAATGGATTACACAGAAAAAGACCTAAATTGTGTCTTATAAACTGTTTCCTGTTTATCCTAAAATATTCTAAATACCTTAGAAATCTTTGCTCACTGAGATGTTATGACGATTAACGTGGTGACAGAAATACAGCAATTTGGAAGCTAAGTGTAAAACACTGTTGGTCAGATTCCAGCAATCTCAGTCTTGTTGAGCACTCTCTTTCCTGGGTATAACTGCATTAATTTCAATAAAAGTACTTGCACAGCATGTCACTTCTCAGCATAAGGAATTTAGTCATGGCAGAGTCTAATCTCTGTAATTTTTCCTCAACTAGTTTGCCTTTCCCAAAGAACTGCAATGATTTAATCATGATTACCTATACACTTAAATTCAGAGTACAGTGTAATAATGAGAAGACAAAAATTACTGTATGTTTACCGTGTCAATAGTGCTATCATTACTGTACTATAGAAATTTTTGGAAAGTTTCAGTAGTACCTTAGCTGCACGTAGTGAATATTAAAATAGGGCGTGATGACAGAGAACTTTCTGCTCTCTTTATACAAAGAGTTAGTTCTGTAAAATGCACTGAATTTTTTATAAATTTAATGTTAAAAAATGTCAGTAAAGCCACGGTCAACCAAAATATAGACAAGCACTTTAAATATTAACATTATTTTAGTCTGGTACTCCAGCTACTCCAAAGTGACTGCAGAGTCAAATTAAGCAGGTTAGGTTTATAGGTAGATTTTTTTCCTGGGAATCATAGAGCAATAATAAGGTATTCCATAAAAGATAAATAGATATCATAATTAATAGCATGGCAAGGGATAAAGATCTTTTAACTTTTGGGGAAGCTACACACAGTAAAGGAAATGCTACTAAACCAGCATGTCCGGGCTGCTAGCTGCTGATGAAAAACATGAACAACTTTCATGGCAACTCACCATTTCACTGTTACCACCCACACTTGGATTGTGAACTTGTGGTGGAATCCACTGCTCACAGTTTATCACCTAGATGTTAAGAAATGTAAAATTTAAAAAAAATCCAACATAAATAAGATGAGTAAACATAATTAGTATCATGTCATTTAATGCAGATTGAGAGCTCCGCAATCTTTCAACCCAGTACTGTGTGCTTATAAAAGCAATGGTTGACACATACCAGCTGACACCCATTGAAAACAGTTTGATATTGAGCTGTCTTAATTTCCTTAGTTATCTAGGACTTAGCAACATCTTGGGGCCATCGCAGTGCATGTGATACAGAAGCAGAGCCATGCACTATATCATGGGATGCTTGGGTCTCATCCTAGATCTTGGCTGTCCTTTTTTCAATGAGCAGGTGTTGTGATTGGCATTGTTCTTATCTCAACCCACGAGTCTTATTTTCTTCTGCCCCTTTAATTCTCTCCCCCATTCTCTTAGGATGGGGGAGGGTGAGCGAGTGGCTGCGTGGTGTTTATGGCAGCTGAGGGTTAAACCGCAACAGCATGAAAGTCTCAGAAGACTTTCCTCAGCAGCAAACCCCCATCTGAGGAGCAAGTGTCAGTGATGCATTTCTAAAGAGGGTCTTGTTCAGTTCACCTCATTTTGCCTGGGATGTTGAGTCCCAAGGGTGTGAACTTGAATTGGATTAACAATTCAGAGAAAATGGGAGGATCCTCAGAACTAAGCAAAGACAATGCTATATATACTTTCATCATCTGCCCATAATCCATTTCTTGGTCACAATGTCCTCATGATAGGAACACCACGAGACTGCACTTTCCCGGGGGCACTGATGCAGTCCCTAGTGGGCAAGCCTGACAGTGCTTATAGCTTATCAGTGAAAGTAATGAACACTAGCCTTTCTTCTTGCAGAATATGAATGACACTTTGAAGGCTGAATGCAACCTAAGAATTTACGTGAGAAATGAGGCATGAAATATTTTTGAAAATGTATTAGCCCAAAGATTGTACTACTTCATATTTTATGTCCTTCCCAATATGCTACAAAGGGTTTGAGCCATCAAGGGAGCCCTGCTAGACATGAACAAACAAGAACAAAGATATGAAAAATAAATGCAGAAAGTGAATCTATTTTTTATGGTAATTACAATTTTTACGGTGTTGCTCATGCTCTGTCCCTCAACCTGTACTTCTGTTCCAAGCCCCTGTTTTCCAGCACTTACAGAATGAATGTAATGAAATGAGCATCTGTTTGGGAAATGGAGAGGGACTAAAGTTTTTATGAAGCACTCAGGGAGGCTTATTTTTTTTCTTTCTTTCTTTCTTTCTTTCTTTCTTTCTTTCTTTCTTTCTTTCTTTGTTTTTGAGAGAGAGAAGGGAAAAAACCTAACATGTCCATCTATTCTATTTATTCTTATTTGTAAACTTGTCTCTTCCATGTCTCATAGAATCACAAACTCACTCAGACCAGCTGAGGCAGGAAGGCACCTTGAGGATTGCTCAGAGCAGGTCCACTGAGCAAGTTGCATAGGCCCGTGTCCTGACAGGTTTTGAGTATCCATGATGGACTTTACACAGCCTCTCTGGGAAGCCTCTTCCAGAGTTTGACCTCCCCTTGTGGTAGAAAAGTGCTTTCTTTATGTTAAATGAAATTTCCTGTATTTCAGGCCCATTGCCTCTTGTCCTGTCACTGAGCACCACTGAGAAGAGTCTGGCTCTGCCTTCTTTATTCCCCCCATCAGGTGTTTGTACACATGTAACAGATCCCCCTGAGCCTTCTTTTACTCAGGCTGAACAGTCCCGGCTCTCTCAGCCTCTCCTTGTATGACAGAGGTACAGTCCCTTAATGATCTTCATGGCCTTTCATTGGATTTATTCCAGTATTTTCCCTGTTTGTCTTGTACTGAAGAGACAACAACCGGACCCAGCACCCATATGTGGTGGGTCAGCTCGCCACTTCTGAGCAGAGGGGAAGGATCACATCCCTCAACCAGCTGGCAGTGCTCTGCCTAATGAAGCCTAAGAGGATTTTGGCCTTTTTTGCAGCAAGGGCACATCACTGGCTCATGGTCAACTTGGTGTCCACCAGGATCCCCAGGACCTTTGCTGCAAAGCTGCTTTCCAGCCAACTGGCTCCCAGCCTGTACTGGCAGAAGGGGTTGTTCCTCCCCGGGTTCAGGACATTGCAATTCCCTTTATTGAACTTCATGAGGTTCCATTTGCCCATTTCTCCAGTCTGTTGAAGTCCTTCTGATGGGCAAGCACAATTGTCTGGTGCATCAGCCACTCCTCCCAGTTTTTGACTGACTGATAATTTGTGAAGCTGCACTCTGTCCCATGGTCCAGATGATTAATGAAGATGATAAACAGTACTGGACCCAGGACCAACCCCTGGGGTAGACTACTAGGGTTTGCTCTCCAGTGGGACTTTGAGCTATTAGTCACATTTTTTTGAGCCCAGCAGTTCAACCTGTTTTCAATCCGTCTCACTGTGCATTTTTCTAGTCCCTTTCTCATTAGTTTGTCCATGAGAATGTTATGGGGGGCAGTGTTGAAAGCTTTAGAAAGGTCAAGACATACACTGTTTTCCCCTTTTCCACCAAGCTAGTCATTTCATTGTAGAAGGCCCTCAGGCTGGTCAGGCATGATTTCCATTTCATAAATTCATGCCGACTGCTCCCAGTCACCTTCTTGACCTTCATATGTTTGGGAATAGTTTCCAGGAGGATTTGCTCCATCACATTGCTAGGGATGTAAGACTAACTGGTCTATAGTTCTCTGGATCTTCTTTCTGGCCCTCTTGAAGATAGTAGTGACTTCCATGGCAGCTTACACTCCAGTTGTGTGAGGTATCCCACCACCTTTCTGTGATCCTAATGAGACTGTAGCCTTGCAATTGCATGCAGACCTCTAATTCCTCCTGTTTGCTCCCCGTGCTGTGTGCATCAGCATACAGGCACTTCATAAGGGCACTCATTTGTGATGATTTTGTGGAAAAAGTGTGAGAGCTTCCCCCATAATGCTATTCTCTCAGCATTTCTTTATTTGTGTGCATAATGCAGTACAGCAAATGAAAGCAGATATAGTTAGACTATTTTGGAAGCTTAAAAAGGCATTATGTCAGTGCTATCTTGATGATAATGAAGGCCAGAGGTAATAATCACTAAAACTCAAAGTAATGTCATAAAAAATGAAATTTGTAAAAAGCAAGATGTAAAAGCCAAGTTCTTATATTGGTACCAAAGCTTGGAGGTATCCAAGTCTCTACATCTTACTAGTCATATGCCCCAAAAAGCATCTTCAGAAAAATTAGAGAGGTCAAAAATAGAATATTGCTTTTAAAATGGGGCAAATGGTTCATGGGGAGATGCTTTAAGGGATTTAAAGAAACTGATACTTAAAGCAAACATAAGCCTTATTCCCTATTATTTCTTCTTCCTTTTTCCCCTCCATATTCTGTCATGTCTGGGGAATGGCCTCCAGGATCATTAACCAGGAGTCAGCCCAGAGGCTGCCATGGCAGGATAGGGGCAGAGATGGAGACCCCTCAAACTAACTTAAGAACTGCTGTGGGAAATCAAAGAATAATCTGTCTTCTTAATATTTAGAAGGTGAGAGGAAGAGAACAGAGAAGGAGAATGAAAGATAAAACAGCTCTTTTCTCCCTTCCTTCCTCCTCACCTACTTTTTGGCAGCAGGGAAAGGAGGTTATGGGAACAAATTAACAGTACAGAGAAAGCTAAAACCCTGAGGGAAAGCAGGAGAAACCTGGGACATTCTTGTTTTCAAGTCACCAGTTTCCAATACGGTCATCTGTCCCCCGATACACAGATCATTTGACTTCTTTTTAAGCAAGATCATGTCTCTGGCCTGCACTGGAGCTGAGCACTGCCTAACGTCTGGGTCTTCACAGTTCCCTGTCATATCTGGGATGCCTTCAGGGTGATGCATGTACAGGTTTTTTTTGTTTTTAACCTAAGCATCCAAAACGACTTCTGACATTGTCTAGAAACAGCAGAGGTGACTCAGCTTGGAGCCTTTTATGAAGTTTGATATTCACCTTGAATGTAATATTCTGTAAAGGAAAGTTTACCAGATATTCAGCTTTTAAATAATTTACTGTATTAATTCCTCATTAGACACAACCCACACATATAGTTCTGTGTTACACACTTTTAGTCAGATTCCCAAACTAGGTAAACTGTTGTGTCACATGAAATCAGCAGAGCTAAGCTGATTTGCAACAGATAAGAATTGACCCTAACATATTATCAGGGCAAACACTGGACTGGAAGTGAGATAAAATGCAAATGACAGTCATTCTAATTCTAGAGCTACAAGTCTTTCTCCCCTCCTCTGCTGCTCACCAGCTGATGGGTTTTTACCTACTTTTACGTTATTACTGGTAGGCAAACCCTAGAGTCAGAACTCCTTAATTGCTCGTGCTAGTGGGATGACTAATGTAGAATTATGAAGAGGAGATACAGTATATGTTTATAGAAATTCAGAAAGCATTAGGATACATATGCCAATAGGGATCATGCAAGACTGATCTAAACACTTAGTACAGATCTTGCTAGACACAATTCCAGCACATTGATTTAACATAAATATATTTGCCCAGGGAAAGAAAAAGTTTTCTAAGTATTAATACTTATATAATCTGCATGATGAAAATGGTACACAACTCAGGTAGTCACCAGAGTCTTATTTTAAACTCAGTTTCTAAAATACACAGGCATACTGAGTATGAAGTTTAGGCTGGGCAGATACTGAATGGAAGTAAGAAATATACATTTTATTTGAATTAAATTTTAGATTCTGAAAAGAAAAGTAGTTCTTTCACCTGGCATGTCATTTCTTCTATCTTCTTTCCTTGCAGCAAATGTATTCCATCACCAATAATATTATCTTCTGTGAATTATGACAAAAAAAAAAAAAGAAAACATGCTTTAAAATGTTCTGATTTAAGTTACTCTGAGGAATATAGTTTGAATTGCACTTGATATTTTGAGCTGACATTTTGACTCTGAAGCTAATCTTATATCATTTAAGAATGCATTTTATCTCCAACTGCTTTTAAGTAAGACTACAGAACAAATTGTCAAACTGACTCACATAAAGGAAACTCATTCATGCTTACTTCTTCATCTGTACTTAGTCCTCAGTTTACTAACTCAGAACTCCACCCAGTGCTACCTCTTGCCCTGCTAATTTACAGCAGAAGAGTGCAGAACACTGATGCAAAAAA